ACAAGTATACATATGTAACAAACCTGCACGTTATGCACATGTACCCTACAACTTAAAGTATAATAATAATAAATAAATTAAAAAAAAAAAAAGATCTCAAGGAACTTCCACATGCAGCTGCTCATTTAATTCAGTCTTCATGATCACAATGTGTTGGTTTTCATCCATAGTTTACAGGTAAGGAAACCAAGGCTCTGTGAGGATAACTAATAGTTATTACTCTACTGTGTTCTCACAGCTGAGTGGCAGAGCTGATCTCAAGTCAGATTATCCTTTTCTCAAACTGCAACAACCTCTTTTTATATAAACTTCCTTGGCCAGGAATCTCCACATATATTATTAATGAATTTTGTGGCTAGAATAGTAAAACTTCACACCACCACTGGAAAAATAAAGCTTGAGTGTGAAAGAAATACAGAGTGAAGTCAATTACATGGTACTGCTTTAATATATAGCTGCATATTTCTGTTATAGCAATCTGAACATCCTTTTAACCTTAGTTTCACTTTGGCTTTGACATTGTGTTTTATTATATGCGAACTATTGGAAAACATTTATTCTTAAAACTATTTTTCCTTCTTTCCTAAATAGCCTCTCTGCTGCTTTTTCTTTTTTCTTTTTCTGTCTTTCTTTTTTTTTTTTTTTTTTTTTTTTTTTTGAGACGGAGTCTCACTCTGTCACCCAGGCTGAAGTGTAATGGTGCAATCTCGGCTCACTGTAATCTCAGCTGCGTGGGTTCAAATGATTCCCCTGCCTCAGCCTCCCAAGTAGCTGGGATTACAGTCATGCACCACCACACCCGGCTAGTTTTATATTTTTTGTAGAGACAGCATTTCTCCATGTTGGTCAGGCCGGTCTGAAACTCCCGACCTCAGGTGATCCGCCCACCTTGGCCTCCCAAAGTGCTGGCATTAAAGGCATGAGCCACCGTGCCAGGCCCCCTCTGTTGCTTCATCCAGAAATAAAAGATGGGCTATAGCTGACTGCTGATTTGGGTTATATATGTTGGTAATATTGTTGAGTTACAAATACTTTTATATATAAAAGTTAGGTATAACTAACTTTTAAAAGATAAAATGTTTAAATGCAGAGAAAGATCTTATAAAAACAAAATGTGTCCACTGTGCATCGCAGAAAGTTTGTAGGTTTAAGAAATGCAAACATAGGAAGTGTTTAGAAACCTGACCATAAAATGATGCAAGTGAAGTCTTTGTTCCTACCATAAACTTGAGTCAAAAGAGCAAGCAAAGATATCTCATAAGGTTGCTCAACTCTAAATTCCCTGAGAGATTTTTATACGTGAGGGAGAAGTTGAGTATTTTCACTGACACTTCAACCACCTTGCCCCCACAAATTTGTTCTCAACAAGTTGTTGAGCAGTATTGGAAAATCTAAGCAGTTTTTAATGGACACAATCTGATGTGGTACATTTTAAAGTGCAACAACGGAAATGTCTGTGAAGCAGGTTAAGTTAACATAGTGATTGAGTCCTGGAATTGAGAACTAAAAGTAACCCAAATGCACGTTTTAGGGATATTCCTTTGCCGACAATCAGGAAAAACTTCCTTCACCTTGCTAGGATCCCAAATAATTGATAGATTAATCTTATAAGGCATAAAAAGTTTAGAACCTGGAAAAGCAAATGTCAGTCAGAGCAGTTTTTCATCAGCATCATTTTTATTTTCAAGGAAACTTTAAGTGATAATCGGGCAGTGTCCATACTGGTTTATCATCTCTCTTACTCGTGAGATTTCCTCCTGTGCTCTATTTCACATACCCCAGTAGTAAAGGACCTCCCTCACACCTTTCCGCCCTCAGTCTCCCACCCCCTACCCAATCATTTCACTATGTATACATACATCAAGATATTATGTTGTACATCTTGAATATACACATTTTTAAAAAGAAAGGGCCACAATGGTGGTAGATGCAGCCTCTTCACTGTAGCTCCCCTCATAAGGTGTCCTGTCTTCCTCTTTCATATCCAAAATAATTCATTGTAATGACACCTGATTGTAACTTGCTTTTTCAAATTTGGGGCACTGAGAGGCAGGCTGCTTCTACTTTCCAGTAAAAATATTACAAATTAGGCTGGTGCAGTGGCTCACACTTGTAATCCCGGTGCTTCGGGAAGCTCAGGCGGGAAGATTGCTTGAGCCCAGGTGTTTGAGGATGCAGTGAGTTGCAATTGCACCACTGCATTCCAGCCTGGGTGACAGAGTGAGAACCTGTTTCTGAAAAAAACAAAAACCAAAAACACAAATTAGCAAGCACCCCCAAATTCTCATAATGTAGATCAAGATTTGAGGGCTCCAGGACATCTCATGCATTCATTCTCTCTCCTTGAATAGATTATCTGTTCTTATATAGCTCATATGGATTATTACTTTTCTCTTTTTTCTTTTTTCTTTTTTTTTTTTTTTTGAGACGGAGTCTGGCTCTGTCGCCCAGGCTGGAGTGCAGTGGCACGATCTCGGCTCACTGCAAGCTCCGCCTCCTGGGTTCACGCCATTCTCCAGCCTCAGCCTCCCAAGTAGCTGGGACTACAGGCGCCGCCACCTCGCCCGGCTAATTTTTTGTATTTTTAGTAGAGATGGGGTTTCACCGTGTTAGCCAGGGTGGTCTCGATCTCCTGACCTCGTGATATGCCCGCCTCAGCCTCCCAAAGTGCTGGGATTACAGGCATGAGCCACTGCACCCGGCCTCATGTGGATTATTTCTTTAGCACTAAATAGCCCAAATCTCATAAAACCATGTGCTTTTGGATGCTATTTGTCAAAACTTCCTGCTTTCCTAATGAAGGAAGGATTGGTAGGAGGCAAATGATTCCGAAACATACTCACCTGCAGGTCTGGATTGTCCAAAGATCAACCTAGTATAGCTTCCAAACTGATGTTGGAATTACTCTCCACAGATGTTTGAATATTGAGCCTCTGCCTGAAATGCTGAAGTCAGTGGGCCAGAGAGAGAGCTCATTACTTTTTAAAGTGTCTGTTCACATTCCTGGGGCAGTCTCTTGACATCACACCATTAACTCCTCTACTATATTGTTTCTCTAGTTGTCTTAGCTTTGTTCCTGGAGTCAGCCAAGAAAACACTCTTTATTTCCACTTGCATATGTTGTGACCTGTACATTTATTTTTTACTGTACAGACTCTTTATAGGCCCTTTTGTAAAGTTCCATGTTCTCAGGGAGTGGTGTCAACATTGAAGATGTCTCATATACCAGTTACTAGAATCATATTAACTTTAAATGAAATATAATTACTTCTGCAACTGCAGAGACTAAGATGAAAATTAAGCTTCAAGCTTGAAGCAAATCTATTTACACACACTCTTACATACACAGACTCACACACTGCCCTGATGTTTATCGCCCCTTTGATTTCATGGTCTGTGATCTGGTTTGTGGCTTCCAAAATTTTACATTGCTGTGGGGAGTTCGTCCTTGAAGATATTTAGCTCTCTTACTTGAATACTTCATATAAGCTTTTGCTATGTGTGAGGCTTACCGTTTATCTCATTATCTCCCCAGTACTGTGACTTTTTAAATTAAAACTTTCTGTTTGACAGTTCAAGAATTTTGAAATAACAAGTTATGCTTAGTATAAAAGATGAACCATGAAAAATTTCAGTTGAAATTTATTTAATCCACCACTGCTTCACTCCTCATGGAGTCTGATAGTGAATTGAAAAGAAAAACTCCAATCATGCAATTGTTTTCCATTTCATTGAGATTTGGGTATTACCCACTGAGAATGAGAGGTAATTATTTTTAATAACGGTGACAAACAAAATTAGAGGCACTTCATTTACTAATTAAAATTCTTCCCTTGATTTAAAAGCAAATGTGAACGGAAGTTCTGAACTGTTTTTTTAATGTATTTGACCTCCAGGCTGAATACTGGCTTTATAGGCTAAGCTACAAGCAATGGGATATTTTAAAGAAGCCACGATAATTGAGTATCATTTAACTCACTTGTTAGAAGAAGTTCACTCCTATTTTTCCTCTTGCTCATAGTTTTGTAAGGGAATGTCCATATATCACTTCCTAAGAACATATCACGAAGATACCTTCAGCCTTTCTCCTTGTTAACAAAGTCCTGCGAAGGCGTTGTTTGTTTGTAATGAAGGAAAAAGAAACCTCAGGAGAATGCCTCACCTGCATATGTTTTCATTTAACAGAAAAGATGACTCCACAGGGTGAGTGTTCTGTAGCTGAGACCTTAACCTCAGAGGAAGAGCATCAAATGAAGAGGATGATGGCAAAGCGGGAAAAGATCATCAAGGAGCTGATACAGACGGAAAAGGATTATCTCAATGATCTAGAGCTGTGTGTTAGGGAAGTGATTCAGCCCCTGAGAAATAAAAAGGTAAATGCATATTTGAGATTTTTATTTTTTTCAATTTTTTCTCTCCTACATCCTAAATAGGATCACTAGCACCATGAAATTGAAGCACTCAGGTGTATCAGCGGGATGATGTGTCTTTCTCCCCAAAACAGCACTGTTCTCAGCTCTGGGGTTACAGTTTAGTACAAAACGAAGTCCTGCCCTTGTGGAGTTCACTTTCTAGTGCAGAAAAGGAGGAGTCAGACAATACACAATAAATAAATAAGCAAACACGTTAAGATATGTTTTATGGTGTGAAGTATAGCTGAGAAAACTAAAGCAGGGAAAAGGAATGAAATATGGGGACAAGGCCAGGCATGGTGGCTCATGCCTGGAAGGAATCCCAGCACTTTGAGAGGTCGAGGCAGGTGGATCACCTGAGGTCAGGAGTTCAAGACCAGCCTGGCCAACATGGTGAAACCCCATCTCTACAAAATTACAAAATACCAGAAAATTAGCTGGGCATGGTGGCACACGCCTGTAATCCCAGCTACTTGGCAGGCTGAGGCAGGAGAATTGCTTGAACCCGGGAGACAGAGGTTGCAATGAGCTGAGATCACGCCACTGCACTCCAGCCTGGGCAACAGAGAGAGACTCAGTCTCAAAAAAAAAAAAAAAAAAGGAAAAGAAAAAAATAAATATGGGGACAAAAGGGTGGTCGTTCTATTTCAAATAGAGTGTCAAATGAAGACTTTTCCAGTGGAGGACATTGAGCAGAGAACTGAAGTAGGTAACACAATGGTCCAGGCAAAGTGGACTACAAGGGCAAAGACTCTAAGTAGTGATAACTTATCATTAGGGTTGTAAATACACAATTCAAACAATATAGAAAAACAGAAGCTAGAAAGTGAAAATGATCAGAAATTCCACGGTCAAAGAAAATTACCATTAACACGATCAGATATATCCCTTCAGATATCTATTTGAACACTTACATATACATATGCATATACACATACATACACAAGCACATATATTTTTACATAAATGTGATCAAAACTACAAATAATATCTTGTAACATACTTGTTTCATCCAGAAATCTGTTACATGTATCTTTTCATGAGTACTAATATTTTTCATTATCTGTCTACTATTACAGTGGCTAAGATGTTTTGGGTGTTTGTTTCCTTATATCCTTAGAATAAATTCCTAGAAATTGAATTGCTAGGTCAAAGGGTATGCATATTTAAGATTTTGAATAAAACGGACAACTGCCAAACAGAAAGTCAATATGATTTTAATATTCATTCCTATTAATAATGATTCAGAGAGCATTTTCTCTGCATCCTCTTTAATGCTGAGAATTATTGATTTCATAAATGTTCTTTTGACTCCTTCTGACAAATATCTTCTCATATATTCAGTGGCTTTTTCTGTTATTCATATCCATGTTTTTTGCTCTTTTAAAAAATGATGGTTTAACATTTTTCTTATTATTTTATGAGAACTTTCTGTATATTAGAGATATTCTTTTTCCATCCTACATGTTGCAAATAATTTTTCTGGTACATCTTTTGGTTTCTAACCTTGTTTAAGATGTATGTTTATTTTGTTTTTGCCATGTTTAGTCAAATATATCCAACTTTACTGATTCTGAGACTGGTATTTTAATATGTTACCCATGATTATAAAAGCATTTCTAGCCTGTTGTGCCCCCAACTACTTACAACATTCAGGAGCAGATTTTATATTTCTTAATACAGTACTCTTCTCAGAAATATTTTTTTAAAAACCATCTGGACTACAAATTAGGGAAAACCAGTATAGGTCAAGGCATTTCTGATACCAAAAATTGTTTTTTGATCTAAGACAATGTTTAAAGAGGAGTAGCAAAGAAGGCATGGAAGCCTTTTCTTACACAGGAAGTCGTCTTCAGTTTGACTGCCTCATGACTTTTATTTAGTACTGACTATATGTCAGATCCTGCTCCAAACACTTCATTAGCATTCTCGTTTAATCCTCCACAGTTCCCTCCCGCAGTGCCAGAATTACCAGGCACTTTCTGAAAACCTGGAAATTTCTTATTTGTGATGTAGAGTAGAAGTAATATTGATGGTCATGATAAAAATTTGCTCCTTAGTGTCGTTGCTAAGTATATAAATGTTTTCTGGTGTGTTTTATTTCATTTTATTAACATATAAACCATATGTATTTGATATAACTGCTATTCTGACAGATATCAATGGTTACTAACATGTTCATTTACATACTTATTAAAATGTTGATTTTAAATGCACATGGCATCAGACTCTGTCACTATCTACCTTTCCTCATGGTACAGTCCTACCTGTTAACTCTTATTCTTTGAAAAATTTGGAACCTAGCCCACTGTGTCTACGTATTCTCACTCTCTCACTCTCTCTCTCCCCTCCCTAATTCTGACATCTTTTTTAGGTGATTTCAATATTCATGCAAATAACCCATGCAACATTTGGGCCTCTCAGTTCTTTCACTTTTTCATATCCAACAATCTTTCCTCAATCCCATTCAGCCACTCATGCCAGGGTCATAACCTAGAACTTGTCATTACCAGCAACTTCGTCCCCTCAAAATCAGAATTTCAAGCTTACTATTCTCTGATGCCTAAGCCTACTCCCACTGGTACCATTTCTGACAACCTTCTGATGGCGCCGAGACCTCCAAGCTATGGACCTTACTACCATTTCACTCTTCATCCGGCCCAAAGATGCTTTAATTTCTATGGGTCCTTCATTATAATCACTCCTTGCAAATGATCTCAATTCCTTTTTCTCTCTTTCTTTCCATTTACTCCCCTGCAGCAACTTACTCGGGTGAGGTTCAATTTTTCATCTACTTCACATCTTCACCTGTGCAGCAGAATTAATCTCTTATAAAATTCATGACCACTTGCTACTGGGGCCCCCAGTAATGTTTCTGAGGAGATTCTCTCACATCCTTTTCCTCACATGTCAAACACCCCCTTTTCTTCTCTCAGCCTATGCCCTTTCCCATCATTTCATAGAAAAACTAAAAACAATAAGATGTGCACACTCCCAACACCAAATCTACCAACCAGCTGCATCTCTACCTGTGTAAGGTGGCTTCCTCTTAATACCAGAAGCAATGGTTCCCGCTTCTACTGAAGGATGACCTCTCTGCTAGTGCAGTGGATTCTACCCCCTCAGACTTAAGGGTTTTACTCTGGCCTGTGTCCTTTCTGTCTCCTGAATAATTAGTTTACCCTCCTTATTGAATATTTCATAGCACCATTATCTACTATCTTAAAAACCAAAATCAAACACAAACAAGCCAAAAAAATCCTTTTCCTCGATCCTTAAGGAATCATCTATATTCACTGTCTATTTTAAAATTAAATATAAAATATTTACTAGGTATAAGAGCATTTGTGACTAAAGCATGTTTCAAAATAAGCACAATTTATCAAAAATCTGTCCTTGTGATTGGCTAATGATCAATATAAAACACAGTAAAAAACATGCCCAGTTGCAGTGGCTCACACCTATAATCCCAGCACTTTGGGAAGATCAGCACAACCAGGAGGATTGCTTGAGGCCAGGAGTTTGAGACCAGCCTGGGCAGCATAGAGAGATCTCATCCCTATTTAAAAAGAAAAAAATAGCCAAGTGTGGTGGCTTGCTTCTGTAGTCCAAGCAACTTGGGGGGCTGAGATGGGAGGATCGCTTGAGCCCAGGAGGTTGAGGCTGCAGTGAGCCATAATCACACCACTGTACTGCAGACTGGGAGACAGAGCGAAACCTTGTCTCCAGAAGAAACAAGCAAACAACCAGACAAAAACACCAAACATACAAGAAAAGTCTTCCTTTGAATTATTAGTCCACATTTGTATCAAATGGAATGAGTTTATTCGTATGAAAATGTTGCCAATTTAAATAATCTGCTACATTGGTGAGTCAAACTAGCCCCACTAAAATGAATGTCATTGCTGAGCTGTATTCTTCTATATGCTCTCCAATTTTCGTTTGTGTTTTTACTTTTTGTTATTTTTCTTTACTTGTTTTTGGCTTCCTACGAAACTCTTACAAGCAGTTCTCAGATTGGTGTCTTAGACTGTCAAGTGAAACTTTTCCATTATAGTAACATTTATGGTCGTTTATTTGGCACATTTGGCTTTTGCTCTCAATGCTGTGAATTACAATTCTCACAGTTCTAACTCACATTCTCTAGGTTGTTTTATTTGAATTGTTTATAGATTGTTGATTTTTCACACTTGGTACCTTGTTGTTTAGGTGTCTTTCAATGCCTGTCTGCTCTCTGCCTTCCTCATTTTGGACTTTAATTTCATTCTAATAGTTCTCTCGACTAAGGTAGTAGCAATTGTCTTAAGGTTCTCAGAATTCTCATGTCAGATCTGCCTTTTTCCCACTTCTCAAAACTTTTAACCTTTGATTAAACAAATAAATGTTCAGGTACTCATGACTCTCATAAGCATTTAAATGAGTGCTGAGGTACTTAGTTGACACCACCAGTTCATTCAGTTCACCACCTTTTCAATGTTCATTAGTTCTTTCCTGTTCTCACCTCCCTTCTGGACATTTAACTACCAGTGTCTTTGAGCACAAACCACCTGTCATCACTGACAAAATTTGTAAATTAACACACACAATTTTCAGATAACTATAGCAACAATCTGCAAACCATGCTTAGCTAAACCTGGGGCAACATCAATAAATATTTTACAACTACAGGTTAACCTAGGAGAGAATTTGGGTATCATAGGATTCATCATCTTTTCTCTATAAAAAATCAAACTCAGACCACTCCCAGTAAAAACAGAACAAAACAAGTCTTTTATGTAAGTGAAAATTGGATGAAGAAGTTGAAAACTGAGGAAAGTACCAGACATACCTGGCTTACCTGAGTGAACTTTTTGTGAATGAATCAGTGTACAAACAAATGATTGGATTCAACCCTTGACTGACAACTGTTCTGTGACAATCGTGCTGTAAACGTTTATCTTAACTTCAAGGCTTTTCTGTGT